ATATAAATCGTTCTTCTACATGTTATGAAATAAAACATTTCAGTCTAATAATGGACGTCGAAAATTGTCTGTTTATAATTTTCAAATTACTATTCAAATGTGGGTCATTTTCTTAGCAGTTGCTTTCAACCCTACTTCAAATAATTCTCAAAAACTTTCAACCATATCAATGAAAAGAACTTTCCTTTTGAATACATTTCAATGACAAACAATATTGGGAGTAACCACATGCGCTCGTTGAGCGCCTTTAATTATTGAAATAAGTTCCTGTTATGCCTAGTGCAAATAAGACATTTTTAATAATATCTCAATAAGTTATGTGAAGCAATCCATTTTTTTACCTTTCAATGATTTCGATTCATAATTATCATAGAATTTATATTTAGTAAATAGATATATGTTCCAGTTATGCCTTGCGCAAGTTAATAACAAAATAGGTATTTTAGCATCCAAAAATGAGACATTTATTATAAATACTTATTGTATATTATTTAAAATATTATTTATTGAGTTTTTAAAATGAAATTTCTTTATAACATTTCAAAATTTAAAAAATACTTATTTATCCTTGTTTCATTTTTAATTAAAAACTAAATTTATTATGTAATATTTTCGTGTGTTTAAATAAAAAAGGTTATGGTACAAATGTCATTGGCCTAACAAGACACACGAAACACTGTTTCTAGTGTACAGCCAAAGTCATTCGTGACTGATGGATGCCTACTACATATATCGCATATCCGTAAAGAATACGGTAAAGTATCATAACAAACATTTCACGCAATCCGTAAACGTTCCGTTAATAGAGCATTTAACGCAGTCGTAAATGTTCCGTAAATATCCGCAAATGCTATATTTACGCAACATTCGCGCACCGTAAACGTATGCGAAAAAAATCGGATTTCGTCCTGTGAAGGAAACTGAACACTGAAATCATGGAACATTTCACCATTCAATTATTTGCTTTGTAGAGAATTAGCTTACAAACAATCAGCAATTATATGTACCAGGTGTAAATAATATATGTACAGTGTATAGTAGTTGCAAGCTAGGTGCAATTGAGATGCCAGTACCCAATATCATTGCCTTATTTGCTCTTACCTTTTATTGTGGTGATGATGTTTTGGTTCAACAAATGGCCTTCTTTGCCACCTGTTGAGATCTTGCCAGCAATGAGGTCTTTATCTGTAAAGAAGACCCTCATAAGCTGGCAAGCAAGAGAAGACTTTGTCTTAGATCCTGTCTTACATAAAGCTAGCTTTGTGCRTGAACGAAAGACTCCACTCCCCGGCACAAGTTCTATCAGCTATGTATTAAAGAAAAAGAACATTGCTAAGTGCTATTAGTGGTTATTAAAAAACACAAACTTTTATTGGCATACCTTTTTCTCATTTGCCTCATCTGAAGTCATAACTMCAGCTGCTGCTTGCGTATTGCTGGAGTTTTTCGCTGAACAATTAAGGAAAGATTGAGTGATGGTTATTTCAATGAATTTCAATTTTAGTGATAGATATTGACAGATTGTAAAAGACTATAGTTATACACTCTTTTAATAAGTCCCGATGTATCGAGTTCTCCGCACTTGACGTCAAATTTATTCTTTTGAAATTTTTACAATACAAAAGGAATTCAAAAGAATAAATTTGACGTCAAGTGCGGAGAATACAACACCTCGGGACTTATTAAAAGGGTGTATACATTATGCCTGTAGCAGACATCTGAAGCTTCCTATACTTTGCTTCGAGGCAGCCATACTTTTCCTTCAACTCAGCAAGCTCCTGTCTGTGTCCTATGCAGATAGGATTAGGGCAGCCAGGTCACTTGTTGGGCCTTTTTTCATCGTTTGAAGTGGATGCTGAAATTAAGAAAGTGATTTATATTAAAAATTGATAATATGAATAAAT